TTAAGACATATCTCGAAAAGCATTGTTCATTTATTGTTAATCGAACTCTCTTCTCTTCTCTTCCTAGGGGGGATAGAAAACCTTGAGAGGCATGAAAGGAAATCCGTACATGGCTGCGACGCTGACGAATCTCTTCACGTCACACAGAGAAGAGCTAAAAGAGAAGTATTTCCGTAAAATGATCAAATCACTTTTAGTCTCTTTTTGTGTCATATTTATTCAAAAAACAAAGACGATGAACAAGAAATCAAGGCCATCCCTGATCAGCTTGATAATAGAGAAGACATATGTAAGAAGACGCAAAAAGATTCTTATCATCGTCATCATTCTCAATTCTAAACTCATCCGTTCAATAAACAAACTCGTGATGTTACAATATTTATATCCTTCGACTTCTCTACCAAGGATGAGACTACTAACAGATGTATCTCTCTCGCGTCGTACTTTGTTTATCTTTGTGTGAGAAATCAAAAAAACAAAGTTCGAAGAAAGTTGTTATGTGAACATTAATATTCCGCCAAAGATATGTCTGGTGTAATTTTAGAAGACGACGTCTTGTGTCTGAATAAATATTACCCGAACATGCTAATTGTATCTTTGTATAGAACAGAAACTCAACCGAGAAAATTCTTTTATCGAATCGAGATCGATTAAACAATCTGACTCAGACGGATTTGTTTATCGATCGATGAGCGAGGAAGATGAAATTATATAAACAATGTCTTACGTTTGATTTGTTGAAATTGTAAACGATGAATTTCTCGAAGAACACAGTCCGTATTGAATGTAAAATCGAACTCGTATGACGTGTGAGCTTTGCATTCATATTCATCAGAGAATTGCCCGTAAATTGATGAGCATTTACTATTAAAACCATGACAAACCTTAATGGAAAGCGGAATCACAAGAGTGCGACAAAGATCGTGAAGAATAACATACTTGGAGATAAGCATATGGATCTGCCTCTTTGAGCGCTTCGATTGAAAATTGAAGGAAGCCTGTCGTCTGTTGAATATGTGCATTATAGGACGAGTATTGTTGATGAATCAATGAAATTTTTCGGTCGACTTCTTCGTGAATAAATGTTACTAAATCTTGTTTTTTCTTTTCAAGTGTATGAATGAGATGATCGATATCTTTGAGAAGGTTTTGCTCGAAAAGTTCACCATTTTTCTAAATGGAAGACGAAGAAATTGTTCTCAAGAGGATCATTTTTCTTTTTTATTTATTCATTCATTCAATCATGTCTTCATCATCGAGATGATTTTATCAAGAGAAATTATTACATTGCTTTTCTTCTTGCATGTATTCACATCCGACATGCGCATCTCTGGAGAAAGAGAAGATTCTTCTAACAAGGTTATTTTGTTTGAATGATGGATCTAATGAAGCATACGACTAATACTCATTAGCTACTATCATCCTCTCAAGAAGAAGACAAGGAAAAGGATCCGAACAGATTTGTTTGGATGATTCTATTCGAATAAGAACAACGCCAGGTGATTGAANAATGCTGAACATATTTCCGATCCTCACTTCGACCGACGCCTCCGTCTTTCTCAGGGTCATCAGTTGAAACAAATTTTTTTCTTGTGTCTTCGCGCTCGAGTGACAACAGATGCGCTCAAGTATATAAGAGATGCGAATGGGAAAGAAGAGGCAACATGTTCAACTATTTGAAATATCAGAGAAAGCAAAAGACATTAGTCAGCACATTTCCTGTTTTTTGTCTTTGTCTCGTGAGGATCGGAAATATGTTCAGCATTCGAATTTGATTCTTCTCGCGTTTTTTTTTGCTCTATAAAAAAAAAGCGAGAAGGACGCCTTAGGGCTCACTGACCATTCTCCGGAGAAAGAAAGAAGACGGATGTGATCTTGACCGTACGTATGTGCGTGATAAGCGTTTTGTCTGGACTAGTGAACTAAACTGGACAGACAGACGAGAGTTGATTAAAAAAAGAAGAAGATGAAGAAAGAGCGAACAACTTCCTTTTTTCACATGCAATCACTGAATATTCAATTTACCTTGTAGAGTTTAGCTGCTTGCTGAATCGGTACAGTTTCATGGTTCAAATGATTCGAGCATTGTTGACAACATTCCGAGTGACAATGAAGGCAATAGAATGTTGCTAAACGATTTAGATGGTCACTACAAAATGTTTTGTCATTCGTTGCATTTAAACAATTTTGTGATGCATCGAGGAAGTTATGCTTGGCGTATGGGCCACGCATAGGATGATATTGCTCTCGACATTGATCGCAATAGCCAATTCGACATTGTTCACAAATACGTGTAATAGATCGCTCATCTGAAGGCCGACATAATTGACACTTTGGTGCTTGTTGTTTTTGTTCAGAAGATTTCTCTCCGCGATAACGATTGACAATGTCAGCGAGCAGATGATTCTTAGGTAAACTACGCACACCTGTTGTATCCATAAAGATTGTCTTCGAACATGCTGGACATTGTAAACAAGTTGAATATGTTTTATTAGGTTGATGACGAGTTGGTGTTGTCGAGAGATACGATGTAGAGATTTCAGGTAGTGCTGGTGGTAAGAGTAAACTAGATGGACGACTGGAAGATGATATCGATGATGAAGACGATGACGAAGACGACGAGGATGAAGAAGAAGAAGGCGAATGGCGATTCAAAAGAACACCTGAATCGTTGTCGCTCGTAAACGAAAGTTTATCAAGATCAGATGCGAAGGATGTCGATGAAATATCAAGTGTCGAATGATTCGGATGATGTTCAGTTGTTGTTTGCGTTGAAGTTAATGCACATGTATAACATACAGAATGTGTACAAGGTAAATAGACAGGTGAACGATAATATTCTTTACAAGATGGACAACGCAGCTCGAGATCCATCAGTTCAAATTGTATCTCTTTTGAGACAAGTGACGATGAAGAATGATAATTTTTTTCTCTAGATATGTTTATATGTATGTGTGTTCAACATTGGACGAAAGAGAGAGGGAGAGAGAGAGACATACTTCTTCTCTTTCTATTTCTCATCAAGAAAAGAGAAGAAAAGAGAAAGAGAAGAAAAAAAATCCCTTTCCGTTCTTCTTTCTATTGTTAGACTTATTATTCCTTGCTTGCTTTTTTTATAAGCGAAAAGAGAATAGAAAATGAGAGATTTTTGCTGTTTATGTGTGTGTGTGTCTCTCCGTCTATCATGTTCAATAGTTTGCTCTAATGAGCTACAGGATTCGTATATGTTTTGGGGCCGAATCAATGGCGTAATCCATGACCAATGTCCACATAATAAAAATGTTAAAACAATAGATAATCAAACAAGCATTCTGGACAAGTNTATTCCTTGCTTGCTTTTTTTATAAGCGAAAAGAGAATAGAAAATGAGAGATTTTTGCTGTTTATGTGTGTCTCTCCGTCTATCATGTTCAATAGTTTGTTCTAATGAGCTACAGGATTCGTATATGTTTTGGGGCCGAATCAATGGCGTAATCCATGACCAATGTCCACATAATAAAAATGTTAAAACAATAGATAATCAAACAAGCATTCTGGACAAGTTTTCTCTTACATATATCGAACAGACAGATGAACTTTAGTGAGGCAATGCTTGGATGATGATGATGATGATGATGACCAAGCTATCTAATGTTATTTCTTTAACGATTTTTTTCCTTATTCTTATTTTATGTACTTGTCATTATATGATTACAATTGTTAAGTACATGACTAAGACAATTGTTCGAATGTGTAAAAAGAGATTTGTCAATTGTTTATTTCTTCCACAGTAATTTTCACATGGGTGCGGACGTGTTTTCTCTCTGAGTAATTGATCTGAATGAGATAATGAAAATAAATTTCAATCCCATAAATCTGTCAATTCGCTCGAGTTCTTTCTACTTATGTTTATTTGTTAGTTTTGTCAATGATAATAGAAAAATATACATACATATGTGTGTGTGCGTATCTCTCAACGTGTTTCTTTCATCTCTTCTCACTAGAGAGTCAATTCTATCCCTTGTGAACGTTATCTACATATGCATAACTTATTCGTTTAATTAGAAAATTACAGTATGAGACATCTATATCGAAACATTAACACAGCATAGTTAATTGAATATGAAAGGCGCAGTAGAGAATGCAACAGGCTGACTGTTTTTTTGCTCTAATAATTTAACATGAATTCGTACTCGAAATTTCGAATGTCGAACGCACATATAAGGGGTTGTTTTGTATTAACTGGAATAGATTGGATGTTGACAATGAGTCGAAGCTTTTCTCGCGTAAATGTCATTCGTGTTCGTCGTGCGAGTTTTCGAAAACAAAAGTGTTATTCAAAGCGATCAACAACGAAAGATAATCTTACACGTCAATCAAATTTGAATAGTACTCATTTTTCTAATGTGTCTGCACCTCGATCAATATCATTATCGCATACTACTAACACGATTATCAAATCACAACAAAAGAATATTCATCATGAACGACAACAGATCTCTTCTGTCTGTGATGATCAAGACGAGAATTTAGCCAGTGNTCGAAAACAAAAGTGTTATTCAAAGCGATCAACAACGAAAGATAATCTTACACGTCAATCAAATTTGAATAGTACTCATTTTTCTAATGTGTCTGCACCTCGATCAATATCATTATCGCATACTACTAACACGATTATCAAATCACAACAAAAGAATATTCATCATGAACGACAACAGATCTCTTCTGTCTGTGATGATCAAGACGAGAATTTAGCCAGTGCGTTTGGACGATCTGACAGTCGTCTATGGTTAAATCGTACCTGTCGAATAACACCTTCGAATAGTCGTGAGTTGTTCAATGATGATTTTAAAATCGATTTTGATGGAAGGTAGGGAGAAACATTCGAATAGGCTCTGGTGTTAACAATAAAGTGTTTCAGATACACAAATCAAAGAAAGAAACGAATTATTCCAGGCAAAGTTCTATGTAAGTTTGCATCGTGCGTTTTCTGTTCACTTTTAATCATTGCTGGTGTGGTTGGCATCATTCTATATGCAACGAATCAACCTAAAAGTAAGCAAATCAACCTTTACATACTGATGATGCTGATAGAACTCTTCGTTTCATTGCTACAGACGAGGCAACAGCTCAACAATCGCCATGCACAATAGGTGCTATGACTTGCTCGTCACCAATCTTTTCTTGGAATAAAACAGGCGTTTGCACGCAATCTGCACCATCATATCGGTATTTTAGTTGTTGTCATCGAGCAATATCAACTCAACTAACCATCGAGTTTCAACTTATTGAAGAAGTTGGACCATGGCATATTGATGATGTTAGTATTATGCAGAATAATCGAGAACTTCTCATTAATGGTGGCTTCGAATCGAATTTGACTGGATGGATAATCATTTCTTCGGCGAATCTTTCCATAACACCATTAGCTTATTCCTCTGTATCAGCAGCACACTCAGGTTCAGCTTATCTGTATTCAATGGCAGCCTTAACACCCGATTACATAAAGCAAACAGTGAATGTCGCGCAAAATCAAGATGTTAATGTTAGTTTCTGGTGGTATGATGAAGGTGGTGTAGCTGGTTCAACTGAAAAATGTGAAGGATATATAACACTAACGCCATGATCTCAATCAAATAACTACGGAGAGCGAAAGAGTGATTGTGTCCTTGACTAACATACAAATTATAACATTTCTTGGTTCATTTTTATAGAGTTCAATTGAATTTTTATACGTAGAACTAATTTGATAATGAATATATACGTATGTTGAAAGAACAATCATTTGATAATAATAAAAACAGTACATTATCATTTTGTGTTATGCTAATGCATCAACTGTCTCTTTTAGAGTTGATACACTTCTTTTTCAATAAAAAATTCAGTTGATCATTGTCTAGATAGCGTTAACGGTACAATCAATATTGATCTTCTTAATATAAATAGAAAATCTGTTTTTCAATAAAAATATTGCGTTGATCAATAGATGTTTTTCACGCAACACATAAGACTAGAGCCGAAATGAATCATCTAACATACAGTTACATTTCTGGAAACATGAATGATGAACAGCATTGGTCCTTTACCAGATGGCGTTTCTTTATAATAAAAACAGGATTTCTTTATCTTGGATTCAAAAGGAAAGCGTTTACGTCACAATGGGAACAGCTCAGCAAGTGCTCATTCGATTCGATTTCGGCCAATCCTTGGTAAGTAGGGAACATCTTGTCGTCATTTTCTTCTTCATTCATTTCGCATATTAGTCAAACTAGCTTCTTTGAAATTCAACCCGATGACTTCTGATAACGACGTTGGTATTAGTATTGGTTCTAAAACTTACCTGGGGTTTTTACAGCAAGGTGACTATTTGATTAAACAATTTCAAGATAATATTACAGAAGAAAAACAAATTTCCAAGCAAATTATTGACAAAAGCCACGAAGTTCTCAACAAAGCCTATCGTGATTATCTTCAAATCAAGACAAGATTTCTTCGAAAAACAAATGGTCTTATTAGGAAAGCTTTAACTAAACCACATGTACGTTACCATGAAATTTGGTTGCAAGCTTTTCACAAAGAAGTCGAAAAGTTTAAACAGGTTATTGAATCTATTTTACAAGAGTTAGATTCTGCTCAAAAAGAAAATGGCCGATTAAGAACAAAGTGTCGTTGGCTACTGGGCAGCGCTGCGGTAACATCAGCTATTTGTACAACACTTTTATCTGGACTTATATTGCATTCGTTACCCGCTCGGATATGCTCCTTCACGATCAACGCTGAAATAATAGCTATGGTTATGGTTGCGCCAGTCGCACTTTTAACAGGTCGTTTTAGTTTTGTTTTTATTGGCTCAATGATGGAGATTTCTTCGAATCGTGTAAAGAACGATCAACGTACAAATGAAGTACAAAGATTAATGAAGAAATGCTTCTCCTCCTTCGATATACAAAAAAGTGGCAACACCAAAGAAGCATTAAACGAAGCATGTGAAAAAGCACTGAATACGCTCCAAATATCCAAAAGCATTTGGGAGAATGAGGATACATTGGAAATGTTAAAAAATGAAGGAGAACAGGAATTGAACAATCTCACTCAAGAACTTGCTGATTTTGAATCCAGACAGTGACTTTGTGATAATAACTGTGAACATAAAGCATTTTTGGTTTTATGAAAGTCAAAATTTTCAAAATAGAATAAATTAAATCGTTTTTATAGATAGATATTACCTGATGTTTTGCGAGGGAAAAGCAATTGAAAAAGAAAGGCCAAAAAGATGCATTGTGAGATGAAAGAAGTTCACGATTTTCCCCTTTCACATACAAAGGTCATGCATATAAGATTTACTTGTTGATTTTAATTTTCCGATCGCTTAGGGCAAACCTTAGTTTTCTCTTTCCAACAAAACAATACAATATTACATTTTATTTTCTTCGATATTGAATCTATTTGACTTGAATCATTTTTTTACATTGGGAGTTTTGGCTGCCGCTGGTATTTTCGCTGAGGATATTTTCGTTTGGTTATCTTGTACATGTTTTAGTGTTAAAGGTCGTAGTATTTGGAATGAACACATTAGATTCTCATCAACAGTCATCACTCCGCCAGCATTATCAAATTCTCCACAATAATTCGGTGCAGAAAAGATCGTCACCAGTTGACGTTTAGCAAAAAATTCATAACCATCTTCGACAACCTAGAAACATTGAAAAAAGCAATTAAACATATCATCTTCATCTTCGAACTTGATGCCCTCGGCAAATCAAATCGAGATCATGTCGTGTTAGAAACCGTGTCACAACTTCCGCACCGAATGTGTACGAAACTCCACGATCATTTTCGCCCCATTCCGACGTTTCCTTATCTGGATCAGACCAAAGAAGATCACACAGAAGCCCTGTATCGGGTATATCTGTTGGTCTAGCAATGCGTCTGATTTGTTCGAATGAATGTAAATCTGGACTCAGACCACCATGACAGCAGAAGATTTTCTCATCGATAATTGCTGCTATCGGCAAACAATTGAAACAATCAGTGAATGCTTTCCATAATTTAACATTGTAACGTCGTTTGACTTCATCGTAAAAGCCATAGATGCGATTGATTGCTGCACATTCGTGATTGCCGCGAAGTAGAAAGAAATTTTCTGCGTATTTGATTTTGTAGCAGAGTAACATCACAATCGTTTCGATGGACATTTTCCCCCGATCGACATAATCACCTAAAATACGACAGGAGTAAAGAGATTATTTAATTCAATTCTTGACCTACCGAGAAAAAGATAGTTCGCATCGGGTGGATACCCATTCGCATCAAATAATCGAAGTAAATCAGAAAATTGACCATGAGTATCACCACAAATCTTCAACGGCGCTTCTATTTATCATAACAGTAACAAAACATTAGAAAATACCTTCAGTTACCAAGTTCAAGAAGAACAGGTTGACTTAAAAAGATCTCACGTGCCTTGTGAACAATCGTACGAATGTCGCTTTCTCTCAGCTCAACTTTTTCCAGCTTCGGATGTTTACGAATTTCTAACAATTGTTCGATCACTCCATCAATGTTAACATTGTCATCCGCGGCCATAAATTCAAATCAAGCCGTTCAAATGGTTAGTGTGTATGGTAAAGACATTTTCTATCCTATATGAACATGACAGTCCAACTCGATTGAGAAGAAAGGTTTTAACGTATGGGTAATCAACAAAGAAAATTTTCGTATAAAATATTATTTATATGAAACTTGTAGGCGCCAGTAATATATATAATTATCAATGATAGGCACATAAGACGAAAGCTCTTGTTTATTAACTTTGAACTTTAGTAGTATGAGCGAAAAAAGGAGACTGTTTAGAATAAAAATCAGATAATCAATCGAAATGTGTGTACAGAGTTCCGTTTGGTTTATTGGCCAACGTTTAGTTTTCCCACATCTTCTGTGACTTTTTCATCGCTTGTTGGTTCGCTCGCAGCTGCATTTTCGGCTTCTTCTTCGTCTTCACCATCACCTGCAGCATCCTTGGCATTTGGTACCCATAAGCCAGATTTGATACAACGATCGAGATGCTGGGATGCTTCTTCACGTGGCATTTTTGATAGAACTTCTTGTAATTTGGCTACGTCACGTGATTCAAAGCATTCTTGCAATTCCTTTGGTAACGATTCCATTACTTCGACTGGATCGAGACCACCTGGACCTAAACGTTTCTGGCGTTCTTCCTACAAGAGATAAATACCCGTGAAGAATTTCATGACTTCATTTTCCAAAGATTTACCTCTTCGTATTCTTTAATCGCATCAGCAAGTTTTTGTTTTGCACGTGTTTGAACACGTTCTCGAAAGGCACTCAATTCATCGAAGAAACCTTGTTTATATTGTTCATCTGCTGTTTTCATTCTAAACGAATACACCGATATATGACTCGTCACTTGTTGAAAAGACAAACCAACCTTTGGAAGAACGGTCGAACACATTGACGTGGATCGATCTTTAAACTTTTGCTCAATTCAAGAATGAATTGCATGATCATCGTTTGATGACTAACATGCTCCATTAAACTATGTTTCTAAACAAAACTCGCATGAAAACGAACGATAACACTGAAAAAATCGCAATTTACCTCTTCCATTTCCAGATCAATACACCATACAACTAAATAATTTGCCGTCTCTTCGCAAACCAGTTCCAAGTGTTCTTCAAGAAATCGTTGTGTGTCATCGTAATTACGAAACATGCCGTATTTCTTGACATTGTCTCGATGTTTGTCAATGAATTTTTTCTAAAAATCAAATTTTGAAGGTATTCGTGAAAGTCGAATCGACATACGTAATATTCTGCTTGTTCTTCTTCAGTCATATTCTGTGGTCGATCTTCGGTAACTTTTTTGTTAATTGATGTTTTGGATTTGCCTTCATGAGTCAAATCGTCGACATCCAATGGACGAATACGTTCTTGTTTTTGTATTTCGTCATCTTTGTTTTTCCATTCAAGTTCTTCTTTCTCTAAAGCTTCACGTTCGGATTTCAGTGTTGATACATCGCCCTTTTCCTGGAGAAAGAAAAGCAATGAAGGTGGTTTATGATGTTCTCCTTCTTCTTCTTCTTACGTTCTCTAGTTTTTTCAGTTTTTCATTGAATTTCTTTCGGCGTTCCAATAATCTAAACGAGAATTTACGAATAAAGATCTTCAACGGGTACTGAATTTACTCTTTATGTTTCTTTTCATGGTCTTTTTGTTCTTCAAGTCGTTGCTCGCGTCGTTCAACACGTGCCTGATGACGCCAACGAAACAGACTTGGTGTATCGATGTTCGGATGAGTGTCATCTTCGTCATCGGACACCTCGATCTTTTTCCACTTGTTATAATTCAATGGTTTCGTCATAATCGATATTCGTTAGCTTTTCTAATCTAAAATAGAAACAACAAAAACAAATCCAACAGAAAACAACTTGTTCAACATAAAAATAGCGGAGTTAAATGTTTGTTTTTTTCTTTAAAAGCGAGAAGGAAAGTAAGAATTATTATTCTAGATTATATCACGTAGATTTAATATCCAATCTTTCCTAGTTTACTATCAGTGCGAGGGTCAGCTACGAACGATTGAACATTTACAATAGTTTCATTAATTTTTGTTTGTAATGTTCGTAAATCTTGAATGTATAGCAGTCTAAGAACCTTAGCAGCTTCGTTGATGATTTTATCAGTCGTGTCGAAGCCCAATGACATTTGTTCGATTGAGAAGTCCACTCCGGAACCCTTTTTCCAAGAAAACAAAATGAATAACGAAAGTCATATAGAAAATTCTTTATACCTGCTCTTTTATTTGACTTTTCTCAAGTGCCTCTTTAGATAATTTCGTTGTGATCACTTTGCTGACAGCCTAACAAGGTAAATATTCACATGACTTAGATGAAATAAATGACAACTTACGCGGAGAATAGCAGTTGTATCATTCGATTTCGTTGGAATTTGTAATAGTTCGCATAGTTTCAACATTCCATTTCGAAATTCTTCACTTGCAACTAAAAAAGAAGATTTTCTGTCTTGAAAACAGGTAAGTCAAACCAAACAATTACAATCGATTTTTTCCAATGGATTTTCATTGGGATTCGATGAAGTATGATTGTTTTGTTGACCATTCAAAGACACTGTTTTATATTTATCCACTAAAACAAATTCTCTTTCGTTTTGCAAAACTAATCAACATCGAAACATCTACCGTTGTCACCGTACTCAAAGCGAATCGCACAACCAATAAGCCAATCGCTTACGACGACGCGATCCTTGATCGTTTCATTATTGTATGGAAATTTCAAGTCTTGTAAATACTAAACAAAAACCTGAATATCTGTTTCGATGGGATGAGTAAATTTACCTTAGATAAAACTTGTTCCCATTGAGGAGTTTGAGTATCACGGAGATTTTGACGTTCATCAATAGGATACAGACGTATTTTCATATCTTCAAGCCAGACGACCATATGTCGAAATTGATTTTCGTCTAAAGAACACCAGTAAACATGAGATTATCATCAATCAGTTAGCTGAATATGTACCTTGAGGATTATAATCTTTCCCATAATCCAATGCGATCAATTTACGTTTGAACATGTTTATTATTCTACAATGAAAACAGTACACAGGGTTGATCTTCTTTTATGATTGAAAGAAGAATGTGAAATCTCGTTTCGAGATTCTAGAAGGTCCATCAATTTCTATGTGTAATATTTTCGGTAAACAATGGATTGACTTCGCCAACGACATCTATTACAACTCATCGATCATAGGAAGTGTACTTATCCGGGATGTTCACATCGATTTCAGTCATCCTCTTGTGAGTTTCTTGGAAATCAATCGAACTAGTCCGTTTGCCAAATTTTGGATAATTCACAGTCAAATATTTTTAAAAATCCAGTTTAAATTCTTTTTCACATTCACCAAAATAAGAATTGGCATTGAAATATGAGTGGTTTCGATGGCTTCCTGTTTTTCTCATCCGCAAATGACAAAAAAATATCTCCTAAGTGGTACACGAAATTGTGGACCATCTCGCAGTTCTTCAAACCTCCGTCAATTACTTTTGGTCTTTCCAACAGAATAAATTACTTCTTTTTCCGCACACAAATCATCACTCGATCGAACAGATCTGTCCTAAAAGACGACGAAATATTCTCTAATTCTTCTTGTTCTCTTCGACGTCGAAAAAAAGTTTGCCAAAGATATTATTTACTTTGTCAATCGTGCACACTCACTCCAAAACTCTGCGCTAAGTAACCCAAGCATGTAATTTCTCATCGTGCATAATATATCAGGTGCATATTTTTTTGCGTCCTACAGCCTTCCGTACGCCGCTCATTGCTCGTACTCTTTATCAATCAGCGATGTGTAACGATCGAACGTGTAATGAAGTTTTTCGACGGATCCTTCAATTCTTCTTTTTCCTTTGCTTGATCCATGCAATTCGTACAAAGTCCGCACAAAAGATCGTTGATTGTCAACGTTATTTCAAGACGAAAGATTGTGTTTATTTTCCATGCATGGACACACATTATTTTTGTGGACGTGACAATTATTTAACGCGATTTACTTACGATTTCTGCTTGTTATCGACGAAGAAGTACGTTGCACAATTGAATTTAAATGGTCAACTATATTTCAATTATACAAATCAATGTGTGATGAAATTAGCCGACGAGAAATTGACCGAACCGACAATCTCCGCACGATTTACATGTGCAGATTTACAAAAGCTGATGTTTGAAAACCATTTACAATGCTTGCAAAACTATCCGAACAAACCGATCGACTTCTGTACGATTATATGCGATAATTTACAAGTAATTATCAATCTATTTCTGCATTTAAACCAGCAGAGCTCTGATATCAATCGTTTACTAATCCAAACGGGACGAAAGTGTGGTGCGACTATTCAAGAATCACCAATAATGACAATTCCTTCGATATTAATGTCGATTTGTTTAGATAGAAAAAATGCACGTTTAAAAGGCGACATAACGAACGTGATGCTTAACCGAAGATATGAAGTTAATGACTACGAATGGATATCCGATTAGAATCGATAGAAAATTATTTATATTTGTACACAAACAAGAAAAATTAACAAAAGTTGTGATGATTTTTGCGACCAGATGGAATATTTCCCCGAGATTTCATGACGGGAAATATTCGAAGCTAGTCATGTTGTGAATTGCTATTATTAGTAAGAGCACTATCATGTTTTACGGTGTATAGAGCAATTATTTTGAAAAAAATAAATGTTAACAGATGAATCATCGCCTCAGCACTTCGAATCTAACCACTTTTCACAATCCAAGCAGCATACTTCGACTCAGATGACAAATCTCATTGCTATTCGTGGATTGCAATGCATTAGTACCTAATATTCTAATTTCTGAAAATGACACTCTAATCTATCGTGAAATGAATTCAATCCCACAATATGGGAATGCGATTCAAATGCACAATTCATCGATCACACCTTATCTTCGTGAATGGCCCCGTCATCTGACAGTGAGTCCAAAAAAGCGACCTTGGCTTTTTGCGTGTATTTGAATGATCGTAGACGTTTCTCGAATATTCATTTTATGCGGTATTTTCGTACGTTTTATTTATATCAATCACCAAAAAAAAGTTATTTCAAATCTGGAATGTTCTCATTTTTGTTGAGCCAGATATTTGAACACTTTTAGTAACGAAACCACCATCACCGAAATGGTGCCCTTCGGTCAGCAATCAGACCTCCAAGCATTTTATGTTAAGAGTTGAGTAAAGTCGAGTAAATAAGTGATATACACACAACCAGCCGTCATTACAACCTAAAGAGCAAAAAACCTTTGTCCACAGGTTCGTTTCGCGATAAAAAGAAACTTACAGCTTTCCATGATAGTTCAATGTGATTTCTGCTTCTGGTGGTAAATCACATAGAGCAATCACTTGTTTATATTCATCCACCACACATGTCGCATCCGTTTCATTAGCTGGTTGAATGAAATGGTTTTCAGGTGTAATGGCACCTGAAAAGCGTGCAACAACTTCACCAGCATGGATCCATTCCAGTGCATGTAATGATTTCGCTTTTGTTGGTGTTGCTGAACGTGTGAAACATTTTGTCGAATACCATTTGGTTTTCAACTCACGCACACGTGCTTGTAAATATGGTGACATATGGTCGTAGTGTCGTTTTTGAAATTCTTCATCACGATAACGATCAAACATAAGTCTTCCGACACACGATGGTGTTTCACACTTGCATTCTAAGCCGCGGATTAAAGATGGTTCTGTTTCAAGAAAATGATAATCGTAGGTTAATTCTTCGCCGATGGCTATATCACGACTAGCAACAATTGTATTTCCATCACCGGCATCAAATCCGCAGTTGGGTTCACATGAATGATTAAACAAAACACACTCATCGTTGTTTTGTTGAGCAGCAAATGTTCGAGGAATCATATACATATCATCCTCAGTCTAACAAAACTCATCACTAGAAATCAATCGACTTAGAATACAGACGAACTCACCATGTATGAATACCAACAGAGAAAATTTTTCAAATGCGGTTGAGTTTCCATTAAATGATAAATCTCATCTCGAGACATCATATAATCATCATCGCCACATGTACACCACCAGATTTTTTCACCAGCAGCAATCGGTTCCGCCGCCGTCACCATTTGTTGTCCCTCACCATATTTTTCACTCGCATCTACCATTTGAATCATTTTGAAAAACACCATCGTGCTGTTTGTCGTCACCAGTAAAAAGTCGATTTAAATGTGAAATTCTGCTGCTAGGCTTTGTCAAACTACCGTGCGCTTATATAGCAGAGCACACCGACTATTTTTCTTTCTCATGAGTATTCTAAGCGGGGGTTATGAGAACCGACCGATGTTGCGATTCATATACGCTTTTTTACCTTTTTTTTCTCGATTCTCAATTGTAATACGTAGAAAATAAACTGCGCATATACGGCAATCGAATATTATCTTTCTGTGGAACGAGTGATTAAATCGAATCTACTTGGAGGGTAAAGACGTTGATTCTTTTGAAAAAAGTACATTTTTTTTCTCAAAACATCGTCCTAGAAACAACGATGATGCGAGTTTTTTTTTTGTCTTCAACATGTCATCTGATTTTTTACTCGATTGTGAATATCGACGACATAGAATAGTCTTCGAGAAGCAACGATGTCCGTCGTTCGATTTGCAAGTTGCAGATTTATTTCCAAAGCACTCTACTACGAAATAACAAACTTTTACTTTGAAAAACAAACTAAAAGGAAATCAAACACAGCACACACTGTTTGACAAGACTGTACACGAAAAGAAAGAAAATCAAGAATATGAAATCATCAAATACACGAGCGAAAAACGCGTTTGTTTTTCGATCGAACTATTCCTATCAATCAGTCATTCTTAACAACACATCAAACTCTCAATTCGTTTTGACTAATCAACAAGCAATAAATCAATCGATCGAAGAACTTTTTCTGTCTTCGGAAAGTCTTGTCAGGCATCATCATACAGCACCTATCATAGTTGAGACACATCAAAATTGCCCTTTGTCTGTTTTCTACCATATCCACCGGGCTGGTTCATGTCAGAATCATTCAGTTAAACAGCAACAGATTTCAAACGTTGTTTCCCATCCATTATGATCGGCGATGCATCACAAAGACTATCGGAAACGACTGAAAAACAAAACAGTGATCGATTTGTCTAAGAAAAAAAGTCTTACGAAGATTCTTTCGTGCTTCCACTCGACAATTGTACGATTCTGTCGATGATTTCAATCCACTCTGGTGCATTTTCTCTTTCTCATCTTTATATTGCTTTTTAATAATAAAATTCCAAACAATACAGAAGATAATAATGACCACAAATAAGAGTATTGATATCATAATGAATATCGAACCCAAGTAGAAATTCGTTGATAGACGATTCAATTTCAATGGACTATGATTGTTGTTATTATCCGATGGATACAGCCAATCTGCTTGATGATAAGACTCATCGATTGGACATTCTTCTCGTTTCAAATCATCACATATGTATATGACAATACTTTCTTTCGAATTGAATGGTACTGGATTACCCTGATCACGTGCATAGATTTCTAACCGATAAGGTAGATGAAGATTGTTTTGATTATACAAAACAATTGAACCATTTGAATACAGATGAAAATACGCATAATTATCATTATGGGTAAAATAATAATTTACAAGACCATTTGAACCTTGATCGTCATCAGTGGCGTAGATTCTTGCGATGAAGATTTGATTTGTTGTTTGATTTTTCTCATGTCGACGCGTGATGGACGCTGTTCGATTGATGAACACGATCTGTTCTCGAGCGTTGTTTATTGAATTATCGAACATTGGATAATGATCATTTTCGTCGAGAACATTGATATGTACTTCAGTCCGACTTGTTTGATGGTTTTTGTGATTAAAAGAATCAACGAAAAATTTGTAAAACGATTGTTTCTCACGATCTAATTCGTTCGTGACTGTAATTCGTCCTGTGTTGCTATCGATCGAAAATGGTAAGCTCTTATCTTGGACAAAATGATACGAGTACGGAATCAATGTGGATAAACAACTATCCGCCGAAACTTGACCTAAATAGAAATATTGAAATGACCAGCGTGAAAATGAGATTCCTTACCGAGTTCGTATGGTGTTGTTCGATGTTCTGTCGTGTTGAAAACGTACAATGTTTGAGTGAATGTGGGTAAACATGCTTCTTCATCGTAGGATAGGATTTGTACATTCGCTCGATCGTACAATGATTGATTTTGTTTATCAAATGCCAGTACCGATACGTTTAGTGACATGCCTGCCGAGAGTTTTTCTACTAGATAGATACTTCCATTGTTGGAATCGATTCGAATGTATCGATTGTAGTCATGATTGAGAAATTTATATTGAATCTGATGGAAAGTTGATGATAGATCATGATCGATAGCTTGAATATGACCAATCGAAAAACCGATCGGAGTCGATTCAGATAAACGAAATTTATAATTCGATTGGGTAAACTTTGGTATGCAGTCATTTTGATCATGAACAACAATCGATAAACGACGCTGACTAATCAATGATGGTTCGCCATAATCTCCTAGAAGAAAAACCAAAACATTCTGAATACGAAACATTCTCCAACTAGAATTCTACTTACGCGCTTCAAGTATAACCGTGAACCTTCCATCACCATTTTCGCTATCCAGTTGTCGTGATGTCCGAATGAGATAATTGGTAGATGCTAGTGTACTCTCATCACTATTCCCAAAGCCAGAATCTAATTCAATTGGACAGGGATTTTTCAATGGCCAACAGGAAAGAATTTTCAATGACAATTTCCTATTCACCATCATTGAATCATTGTCGCGTATCAAAACCGTTCCTATGACTTGTCCTAAACGAATATTTTCATTGATATTAATAATAAAATCTTCCCGTTCTTCGTTGAAATCAACCGATTTATAATCGTTAAGAATATTGATTTGAATCAATGGCTGATTATCGTTTGTATCTGTAATATCAATAATAACTGAGACAATACTCGAAGTTATCTTATCGACATTCGATGCTTTGACGCGAAATCGGTACGTTGATATTCTCTCGTAATCAAGTTTATGAGTAACATAAATCGATCCTGTGTATTTGTTGATCTCGAATGGGAAGACGTCATTTATTGAAATATCGCCTGATAAAAGTGAATAAAGAATAATTTTATCGTAACAATCATCGTCCGTTGCCAGAATATTAAGAACTGATCTGTTTGAAACGGGAGTATCTTCTGGTATGCGTGTATGATAAAGACGCTGTTTGAAACGTGGCTGAAATTCATTCAAATCATCAATGGTGATATTGACATGTCTAAATTCAGTTGAATTCGTTCAGTGTTATTTGTTTTTCTTTTGTCAATTCGAAAGACTTTACTTACAGAACATTCGATTGCAATCCACCTTTGTCGATCGCCACGATTTGTAATTCATAATTATTTCTCTGTTCGCAGTCGAGTTTCTTCAGTAATTTCAGTCTGAGTTC